ATGAGGTATAAGATGAGGACTTGAAGGTCTGTGTAGATACTGAATTTTCTGGAGAAGCTGTGGTGGAGTTTGGTGAGTTGAGCCCATAATTCTGCTGTCTTGTGCTCATCTACTGACAGCTCTCTAACCCCTCAGTAGCTGTGGCAGAAGCTGAGCCAGAAAAAAAAGAAGAAACATTAATGAATTGTATGTCTACTTGGATCCACCCACTGCAACACACTTACATTATTGATTTTTAGACTTATTTCATGATCCCTTCTGCAGCCACTCAGGTCTGGCATTTCAGACCAAAATAAAAAAAATGGCATTTCCCTTGACAGGAAAATTATTGGAAGAATGAATTAAAAATGCCTCAAATTATTATACTAATTTGAAACATTAAAATCTTAAAATTATATACTTTCAGGTAGCTCTATGGAAAATAATATTTAGAACTAGTTGCTTTTGATGAGCAGGCCTGTATCCCACAGAAACTTGGAACATAATCCCACTCTCCATTCATCTGTAAATGCATTTCAAAATATTAAATGCTGTATTTACTTTACTTGGGAGACCAATGCTATTTTCCATTGAAAGAGTTGTGTGAAGGAGGGAATTTTTGATGTACCATTTCAATAGATACCAAATTATTGTTCCATAGGTAATGCTTAGTAACCATTAGTAACTGTGAATGGTTCTGCTGTTCCTATGAATGGCATGCTGGACTTTCAAGCAATGTTGACTGTATTCTTTTCTTCCCTTTTGATAGTTTCAAAGACAGTGTGGAGAAATCATCATCTTATTCTGACTGGCTAATAAATAATAGCATTGCTGAACTCGTAGCTTCCACGGGTCTCCCAGTGAACATCAGTGATGCCTATCAGGATCCGCGCTTTGATGCTGAAGTAAGAGATTTTTAGAAATGTAAATATACATCACATTTTTGGCATTGCAACTAATAAAACATGATTTTATTATTATAGCCAAGTGGCTGTGAAACATGAGTATTTATTCTGAATTATTTTTTCTATCCAGTATGTCCTCCTTCTGATCTGCTAGCGTTGACATGGCTTTATACAGTAAACACAGGTCACTGAATTAGTGTATGATTTTAGGCAGTTACTTAGTCTGTTCATGACTCATTTTTTTTCTATTTATAAGTGATACCTTCCTCTATCAAGTGCTTTGATATTTATGCAAACTTATTTTTATTGCTGAAAATGCTGCTGGTGGTGTTCAGCGTTAGCAGCACCGTTGTTGTTAGCTGTTGGGGTGACTGGGACTGTACACAGAGAGTGTGAACAGAACCGGTGTCTAGAGAGACAAATGTTGTTTGTGATCTAACTTAGCTAATTAACCTTTTAATTTGCACAAATAAAATATACACACCAGATTAGTTATTTCTCCAAGATACATATCACTCCTAATAAAAGTTGTTTGTGTATCCTAAGGTATTCATTCCAGACTCAGCTAGGAAGGTGTAGATACAGAGAAAAATGTATACGTATACTTAACACCTAAATAAATGTTAGAGGCATATGGAAGGACAAAATATTCACTGAATTCTATCCAGTGAAACAGTATTATTACAGTGGACTTAGCCAGCAGTTGGGCAGCACATTAATCAGTGGACAGCCTTGGTCAGCAAGTTTGCCAAACTATATTACTACAATAAGTGTACTTGAAAATGTTTCATGTTCAGCGTGTGCTTGGTTCCAGTTTTATTCCATGTGTCATTAAAGGGATTATCTCTCAAACTAGCAGAATTTGTCAAAACAAGAAAAATAAAAGGGGCTTGCTGTAAAAGTGTACAAGAAAACTGTGTTGATGCTAATTTGTTCAGAATTTCAAAAAGTACAATTAATGCCTGGGGTCTATTTCTTGCCAAAGAGATAATCTAAAATAAAGCATGCCAATCTTTGACATGTTTGCAGTTGTACTTTTAATATATCATGTCCTGAATAATTCAGCTCTCTCCTATTTGTTTCACAGTTAGTCCTTCCCAAGTTAGAGGCAGTGCCCAATTTATGTATAGAAAAACACTTAATACAAAGGGTAGTAATTATTTTCTGTTGGTGGGTTCCTGTGAAAATTTAATTCTTAAATTCAGTTGTTAAAATCAATTATTTCTACAGACAGTCAAGTGTAGTAAGAGGAACATATCCTTTATGACTTAGATAGAATCAAACATACATTTTGTAGTTATGAACAGGTATTCTATTCTCTGCTTCTATTAAAAACATTGTCTTTTTTTCTCCCAGAACACTAGTTGTCATTTTCAAATGCTGATGCTCAATTTTCAACTCATTCACTGAGAATTTAGTGCCAAAGTATTTTCATTGAGTTTATTTAAAGATATACATCTGAGGCAATTGTTCCCCACTCCCATGGATTTTAGGTGGCATTCCATGCTGATTTCAGTGATGAGTTCTGAGTATGTACAAATAAGCAGTACTCTAGTAAAACCTGAGTTTATATCTTTTGCTAGCTAGGAAATCACAGCGATCCCATCCTGCCTCCAGTATATGAATTATTGCTGGTCTTTTCTTCTATTACAGATTGCCTGTAGCACTGGCAGTTTTAGTAGGAGAACATCTCCTGATCTCCTCTGAGTGGGCTCACCCCACTCTCTTACTCCAATCTCTTTTGAAAAAATATTTTCTTTTTGTCAGATTTTGCAGCAATGACCCTAAAGAGTAAAGCTTATTAACCACAGAAAAGAGAGAATCGGTGACACTTATAATAAATTGCAAAGTTTTAGACTATATTAGATAGAAAACAATAAATGAGGCAGAAAATTCTCTTCAGAACTACAGGACCAATTAAACCTACATAGAAAATCTCAAATCTTGGTTTTGACCTTATCTTTCCATTTCTTCCTAGCTTGCACTTCTGCACAATTCCCTGCTTACTCTTGCCTTTCTTCTGAAAATGCGTATTTCCTGTAAGCCCCTTTTATAGCTGCTTTGCTAAATGCAGTTTCAGTTTGACAATTGGGAAGAGTATTTCTAAGACACACTTATTCAGTGGAGGTTGTCTCTACTAATGTATCAGTGTAAGTAATCCAGGAATTGTCTGGACATTGCCTTAATTGCAGTTTGTCTTTAATTCCAAATCAAAGCCAAATAGTGTAAGCTTTCTGTGGCAAAGATGGCAATGTTTGTATTTTCTTTGGCAATTGTTAGAATAATCCTTGTGACTTTTCGTTAATCTTACTGTGAATGAGGTTTCAGCAGAAATATTTTTCTGAGTGAGAACTGATCCATATGGAATGACATTTGTCAATGTAAACTTATTCCTTTACATTTCTATTACTAGAATGTAAAAGGCTGCAAATGGTACCTGCTGCTGACGGAAGCTCTCATTTCTATGTTTTAGGCTGACCAGATTTCTGGCTTTCACATAAGGTCTGTTCTCTGTGTACCTATATGGAATAGCAACCACCAAATAATCGGTAAGACCTTCCTCATAGCTGCATCATTTTGGGGCTAATGTAAATATAATTCTGTCTTTTTAATTCTGTGTTTCTTTTTCTTCTTTTTCCTAGCTGAATATTGTTAAGAAGTTACAGTACCTAGGGTGCATGCTAAGTATCCAAGAAGGGATATTTTGACTTGGATACTGTATGGACTTTTTCAGCTTTTCATTGTGTCATGTTAAGTTATATATTGTATTGAAACTTGAAGACTAATGAGATGAAAACAAATTCTAAAAGTATTAGTGTAAAATGTTTGATATGCTTTGATACTTTTCTTGGGTCTCCCTTTTTTGTACACAACTCAGGCAACTGTTTCTGCAGTCCAGCAAAGTGGTCATTTCCCTCTTTAATGATAAACTGCACAGTCAGGGAAGACTTACTGGAGAGGCTGTGGCAGCAGTCAGAGTTGCCTGTGGCAGTGGTGTGTGCTGGATCAGGATGTGACAGGGTTTTATTGCTTGTTTGGTAGGATGCTTCTCAGCTATGATACACCTGCAGTTGGCCCTGCATTATTACCTGCTTTTGGCACAAAAAGGAGCGCCATTTGTAAATAACAGTGCCAGATTCCTCTGTAACTTTCCACAGAAGAATTCGAGTCAAAGCAATAGCAACTTAAGCCAGCGGGGCAAGACTTACATCCCTGCGTGTTGTGGCTGTCAGCGAGAGCTGAGATCAGCAGGGCGTTGCTGAAGGCACTCGGTGCCATGCAGGATCAGGATCTTTGAGCTTATTCAGCAGATATGATGTGGGAATTGAGTCTTTTAAAAATATGGCTCATTGTTTGTTGTGAAGTGTGTGTTACCTTAAAGAAGAAGAAAGAAACTGAACCCTCAACTGCTGATAGCTCTTACAGTATTTTTCGAAGGGCATATTGTAGCTAAGTGAAACAGAAATGGTTTGTTGCGGTAGAACTCAGTATTAGTTCAGCTAGAGCCAAGAGCCTTGGACACTTTCTTTTTCAAGTGGTTTAAGGAAATCACATTTTCTTTCACTGCTTCAACAAATTGATGGACCAGTCATGAGAAAAAAAAAAGGACTTACATACCCAGGTGTCCTGATTTCAGCTGGGATAGAGTTAATTTTCTTCCTAGTAGCTGATATAGTGCGGTGTTTTGGATTTAGTGTGAGAATAATGTTGATAACACACTGATGTTTTAGTTGTTGCTAGGTAGTGCTTATACGAGTCAAGGACTTTTTAGCTTCCCATGCTCTGCCAGGTGCACAAGAAGCTGGGAGGGAGCACAGCCAGGACAGCTGACTGGGGTTAAACCATGACACCAGTTGATGCTAAACCCACTAAGAATTTAGAAATGAAGGTACTGAATGAGCACATTTATATTAATAACTCCAAATTGCTAGGACAACTTACATGATTACTGTTAGAAAAGTGCTCGAGTTTTTTCCTAAAGAAATCTTTAACCTTTTGTGAAAAGTTCAAAGTAATAAACAGAGTCCTTGTATCAAAACAGTCAGACTTTCACATGTTTATGTCTGTTTAATAATTTTCAGAATAAATGTTTGCAGTTTTGCTTTTCAGTTTGAAAGATGTATTTTAAATGTTACCAATTGAGTAAAATATTCTGCATGGTGAATTAGCAAATGAAGATTATAATTCATATTAACTCTTCCTAAAGGGGTAGCTCAAGTGTTGAACAGGCTTGATGGGAAACCCTTTGATGATGCTGACCAGCGACTGTTTGAAGTAAGAGGCATTCAATTTTGTAGCAGCAATATACTTTTTCAGCCGGATT